CTAGGAGATACCCTGAACCCTCCAATCTGATATTCTAATCATTCTGCACTTCTTTCATGCACATATACATACATACACATGCATCCGCACGCACGTATAACAACGTGCTCCACTAACTGCAGTGTGGGCAATATTATGAGAATTTATTTGTTGAATAATTTAATTTCTAGACGTCCAATCTTAAAGAAACTTTCAGAACTTAATCACATGTACATGTCGACATTTATAATTTGAAAGCTCTTGCTTTTAAAGTTTAGGAGATATAATTAAATAACTATCTTTCGATACGAATTTTAATCGATAATGAAATATCGGAAGTATTTATCGATTTTTAGTGATAAACTTGATATGCGCGTAATATACACAGACCTAGGAAAAAATTTAAATTAAATTTTAAATTTTAACAAAAACCGAAGCTCTATAACGTTAATATTGATCTACTCGTGCTATAAAGATGTAGTAGATAAAATTGTATTACTGATATTCGATAATGGTTTTTTCCATAGGAAAATGACGGTATGAGTATCGATTTTTGTAGAAAAAATTCATATCCGCGCTTTATATACGGACATTTTAACAAAATTTGAGGTCTCTAGCTCCTATATCTTCTGGACCGACGCGTTTATGTATACGAGTTAGCTCGTTGCCCTGATCAAGAATACATATATTTTATGTCACGCCTCCTTCTGCCTGTTAAATAATAAATCTTTTTGTTTTTAATATATTAATTTTATTATAATAATCATAATTTGAATAATGCAAATATAAATAATATTCATAGCATTATTTTTTAAATATAAAATGTGTGATTGGTTTTTCGAAATACTCATCCGGCTCGATCTTTTCTTAAATTGACTTATACTTGTGTGTAACTAAGTCAAGAACAAATTCAAAAGCATTAATCATCAGAGCTAAGATTATCAAGCTTAACAGATCATTAATTGATAAACATTATAATCACAATATATTGTGTTATTTATATCAACAGTTTTCTAAATGTGTTTTGGTGATTTTTCTTCGTAGGTGCCTGTGAAATTTATAATCTCTTGCGATTTCCATCTGCTCCTCAATTTGTGGCAGTGCCATTGGCTGCTAATGATGAATATGCATCGACTTATGCATTTGTTGGTCCGTCTCGCTATTCATGGAAAGAGGAGGATATACTCTATGTGGGCACGACATTTACTAACGTGGGCGACTATCGGCATGATGTGCCAGCGATATCATCTCGACGGTTGGACGACTTAAATTACGCCGAATTTTCCATACAACAGTCAATTATTAACATCGATGTGAAATATCGTGATCACTTTCTGGTTAATTACGTTTACGGATTCAATTCGTCAGAGTATGCGTACTTTGTGCTTGTTCAAAAAAAGTCTCATTTGGCTGAGGAGGCAGGTTATGTAACGCGTTTAGCACGCATCTGCATTACAGATCCGAACTATGACAGCTACACTGAGATAACCATTCAGTGTACTGCTACCAATAAGCAAATCGATTATAATATATTGAGGGATGCGAAGATAACGCATGCCAGCCAAAAGTTGGCACATCAAATGGGCATCAAGCGAGATGATCATGTCCTGGTGACTGTGTTTTCTCCATCAAAAGAGATAAGCGATCAGCCAGAAAACAAGTCAGCTATGTGCATTTATAGCTTGAAGGACATTGAGGATGTGTTTATTGAGAATATACACATGTGCTTTAATGGCACCAATAAGGATCGGAATCTAGGTTATATATCTGGCACGATCAATGATGGGAAATGCCCAAATGCTGGATCTTTGGGAAACATTTACAATTTCTGCAGTGTGGGACTTAAAATTAGCGGCGTTGCACCAATAACGGCACATGCCTTATTCCATTTTGATAATGTTTCGGTTACCTCGGTGACAGCAACAACTACAACTGATCAACAGCATTCACTTGCGTTTCTAGGCACTGAAACAGGCACTATTAAAAAAGTATTAATGTCCGGTCAGAAGCCAGGTGAGTATGAAGAAATTGTAGTCGATGCTGGCAATCGTATACTACCAAACACAATGATGTCAGCGAAAAAGGATTTTCTTTACGTGCTGTCATTGCGTAAAATAACAAAACTGCGTATTGAACATTGTTCCGTATATTCAAATTGTTCAACTTGCCTGGAGTCCAGGGATCCATTTTGTGGCTGGTGTTCCTTGGAAAAGCGCTGCACTGTTCGTTCCACATGTCAACGGGATACATCGGCTTCGCGCTGGCTCTCATTGGGTAGTGGTCAACAATGCATCGATTTCGAATCAATAGTGCCTGACAAAATTCCCATTAATGAATTGACGCGGGTGCAGCTCGTAATACGTACATTGCCGGAACCATTTAATGCCAAATATCGTTGTGTATTTGGGAATTCTACGCCAATTGATGCCGAGATACTGGAGCATGGTTTGGCCTGTGATACGCCTCCAATTGATCAAAGGCCAATTATTGCTGCTAATACGGACCATGTGCTTGTTCCGCTGTCCGTGCGTAGTTCCGAGACTAATAAGGATTTCGTGTCGCGCTCTTTTGCATTTTTTGATTGCTCCCATCATAAAAATTGTCAATCCTGTGTTCGAAGCTCGTGGGGCTGCAATTGGTGCATTTTCGATAACAAGTGTGTCCATAAATCGGAACAGTGTCGTAACATGGAAAATGCAATCGGTGGAGAGGGTCAGTGTCCGCACTTGAAGCGAAATCGTCAACCAATTTTGCTGCCAGTGCGTGTGCCAAAGGAAATAAGATTAGAAATCGAGAATTTGCCAAAGCCAAAAAGTGCGCATGCTGGATATTTGTGTACGATACAAATTGAGGCAGCTCAAATGCTTTTACCGGCTCACATTGAGTCCAACAAGATTGTTGTGTGTGAAAAGACACCGTACTTTTATGAGACGAATACACACGAATACGAAGCCAAGGTTGAGATAACATGGAATCGTCAGCACTATGTAGACACCGCCACAGTCATATTGTACAAGTGTGACGTTCTTGGTTCCCATCGAGAGCATGCTGACTGCAGTTTGTGTGTCACACGTGATCCGAAATACCAATGCGCCTGGTGTGGGAGCTCTTGTGTATACAATGAAACTTGTGGATCATCAACAATAAAAATGCATGGTCTTGGCTATGATGTCGGCTCTGTTTCAAATAATGTTCTCCCTCAAAATGAATGTCCGCGACCTCGAATTGATATCATAAAACCATTGTCAGGTCCTTTGGAAGGCGGAACTTTGATTACAATCGAGGGAAGCAATTTAGGTATTCGCGAAGAAGATGTAAGAGGCAAAATATCAATTGGAACAGTGCCATGTATTTTGGTGAATTACCAAATCTCTGTCAAAATTGAGTGCCGTACGGGAGCAGCATTGCGTGAAATGTCGGCGCCAATTAAGGTCGCAAATGATGCGGGTTTTACGGAGTCAAGTGTTCAATTTCATTTTAAAAATGTTCAGCTCACCGGTTTATATCCCACTGTTGGACCCAAATCGGGTGGTACAAAATTGTCCTTATTAGGCAAATATCTAAATATTGGCTCTAGCATTCGGGCGTTTCTCGATGAATACGAATGTCATATAAATGTAACGCAAGCCTCATCATCTCGCTTATCATGCATAACATCGGAGGCAACGCAACCCGAGCCCATTCGCTCTTTACGCTTGGTTGTCGATGGAGCTAATCGAACATTTACTTGCAAAAATGCAGATTCGGGAGAGCAACAGCAGCTGATAAGTACATCTCGTAGCTATTATGGAGCATATCATTACAATATGCCGCCTCCGCCGTGCTCGATATTCAACTATACACAGGATCCGCGCATAATGCAAATTAAGCCACTGCGCAGCTTTGCCAGTGGAGGTCGCATCTTAACCGTACATGGAATGTATTTGGACTCAATACAAAATCCTGAGCTCGAGGTTTTTCTGGATAATGAGCGTGTAAACAAAACTTCTTGCACTGTTATTAATTCCAGCCAAATGGAGTGTCCATCTCCTCCAGTAAATCAAAAATTTCAGTTATTGAAAGACGCTATTGGAAAGAAATCGGATCAGTACTTCGAACGTAAGCGAAAGCGCAATGCACTATTCAATGATAGTTTAAATATGTACGCAACAGGCTCAACAGTATCCTTTGTTAAGGTACATGAGACTCAATTAAATTTGCAGCTTAGTTTTATCATGGACAATGTGCAGTTGGTGCGAGATTTGAATAAATATTTTCATGAAATTCGCAGTACAATTGTATACCTGAGCGACCCGAGATATATGCCATTCCCGAATGATGGCATCAAACTTTATAAAGGTGACAGCCTGGTCATCGAGGGTGAAATGCTTAATTTGGCGGCTGATGAGTATGATGTAAATGTAACGATCGGCACTGTTCAGTGCAATATAACGAGCCTTGCTCTTACACAACTATTGTGCATACCGCCCGAGCAGCAACCGGCCTCGACGGATGAAAATGGTATTGATCAGTCAGTGGATCTGCCACTGGTTGTTGTTAAAGTTGGTCGTAATTTGCGCTTTGTTATTGGCTATCTAAAATATGATTTGAACAAACCGTATTCGTTCTCACATGCCGTGTTCGGTATCATATTGACTGTAGCTGCATTGATCATTATACTTGTAATTGTTTTAATCATATTTCGGCGAAGGTCAACGCAAGCAGAACGTGAATATAAACGTATACAAATCCAAATGATCACTTTGGAGAGTAATGTGCGGTCTGAATGCAAACAGGCATTTGCCGAACTACAAACTGACATGACAGACCTAACTGCGGACCTTGAAAGCAGTGGCATACCAACGCTCGATCATGTCAACTATATTATGAAAGTATTCTTTCCAGGCGTATCGGATCATCCAATATTAAATTCCGCAAAAATACGCGGGAATAGCCAGCATACAAATTATGATACAGCTATGATGCAATTCGAGCAGTTGATGAGCAACAAATACTTCCTTTTAACGTTTATTGAAACTTTAGAGATGCAACGATCATCATTTTCAATACGCGATCGTGTAAATGTTGCCTCACTCCTAATGATCGTTCTTATGAACAAAATGGAGTATGCCACGGAAATTTTGAAATCGCTTTTGTTGCGTCTTATCGACAAATCATTGGCCAGCAAGCATCCGCAGTTAATGCTGCGCCGCACGGAAAGTGTCGTAGAGAAGATGTTAACCAACTATTTGGCAATTTGCATGTACGAATATCTGAAAGAATATGCCGGCTCAAGTTTATTTTTGTTGTTCAAGGCAATTAAGCATCAAGTAGAGAAAGGTCTGGTCGATGCTATAACGCACGATGCACGATATTCGCTGTCCGAGGAACGTTTACTGCATGAACAGATCACACATTCCGTCGTTTTATTGCATATCCTACAGGACGATCTGGACGAGAAGGTTCAGTGTCGCGTCAATGACTGGGATACAATATCCCAAGTCAAGTTAAAGATTCTTGATGCCATCTTCAAAAATACACCATTCTCAATGCGGCCGTCAGTACACGAAGTGGACCTTGAGTGGCGTCACGGTCGTGGTGGTCATTTAACACTCCAGGATGAGGATCTTACCACAAAAACTATTAACGGCTGGAAGCGCTTGAATACATTATTCCATTATGGGGTTAAAGAGTCCGCCGTTATGTCTCTTATCGCCAGACAGAATGACAGCTACAATATGCCTTATAGTAAACCGCAGGCTCCCTATCACAATTGTAAGTTTAATTTTTGTAATCCATTAGTGTTTTCAACTTGACATCCTCTTAATAAATTATAATTATTATTCGTTTTTTAGTTTATTATATTAACAATTCGCAGAGTCATATTATAATCAACAACGATATTGAATCGGGTCTCCAGCAACCGAGGCTCTATCACCTAGTAAAGCCAATAATACCCGATCACTATATGAATATAAAAAATTCGGCTATATCTGGAGTCTTGCCACCAGCGCAAGGTGGTGCTCACTGCATTGGAAATGGGAGCGAGAGAATTAACAAAACTATACCAGAAGTGTATTTAACCCGATTGCTTGCCACAAAGGGTACTATACAGAAATTTGTTGATGATTTCTTTTCGATTATATTAACTGTAAATGAAGAGCTGCCACCCGCTGTTAAATGGCTATTTGATCTGCTCGATGAGGCGGCTAGACGTCATGGTATTGCCGACACTGATATTATACACGCATGGAAATCGAATAGTTTGCCACTGAGATTTTGGGTTAACTTTATTAAGAATCCAGATTTTATATTTGACGTAAACAAAACATACTCTGTAGACTCCTGCCTGAGTGTCATCGCACAGACTTTTATGGACGCATGTTCAACAACGGAACACAGATTGGGCAAAGACTCGCCATCCAATAAACTCTTATTTGCTAAGGTAATTACGCTGAGTAAATAAATTAAAAAATGCCTCGAAAGATTATAATATGTATAACTTAGGCCTAAAATATGTGATTATCCTAAAACAGTGCATTCCCAATTTATTTATTTATTTTTTTTTTTGTTATTGGAAATAGGATATTCCAAACTATAGAAGAATGGTAAAGGACTTCTATCGAGATGTGGCAAGGCTTCCTCAAATTAGCGATCAAGAAATGAGCACAGCAATGCAGCAGTTGTCAGTTCAGCAGAATGCAGAATTTGACACCATTTCTGCATTAAAAGAACTGTATATTTATATAACTAAGTACAGAGAGCAGGTATGTGAAGAAATTGATGTAATGTCATAAAAAATGTTTGATTTTAGAAATATATCGTAGATAATGGATGCTCTGGACTCTGATCCGAATTGTAAAAAAATGCATTTGTCCAGTAAACTTCAAAGTGTGGCCTGTACACTAGATGGCGAGGATACATCAAACTGCTGACAAGAAAGTGTATTTTATTATGTGATTTATGACGTTGCTAACCTGATCTTTCTAATTTCGAGCATCCCAATTTTAATTTTAATTAACGATTAATTATGTCTGTGAAATCCACATCCCACATACAAATATTCTATCAAGTGCCAACTAGAGCAACAAAATCTGTCACATCATTTAATTTAAATGTACTTTTCACTTATTTACATACATATATACTTTTGTATATGTATGTTTGATAACTCAACGAAAACAAAAAAGACAAACAAAAATCTCAAAACCTATAGTATACTATTTTGCAATATATATATATATTCTCTTATCGAAAGACTAATTCACACATAACGTAATATCTTCAATTCCGCAATTTAGGTCGCGAGAAATTCTGATTAATACCGCTTTATAGTCTATTCGGTTGCATTAACACATTGATAAAAGATATAATACATATAACCTACCAACACGGCAGAATACTAAGTTAAAAAAGTTTAAGAAATATCACATATGTAGATATAAAATAAATCTATCTCCTTAAGATATATCCAGGATTCTCATGGAGTTTCTAGGTTAAATAGTATATTACGATAAACACTTACATCCACTAATTTAATTACACTCATCCTGTGGATTTGGATTCGTATTTGTTATAATATACCATACTATGCATTACATCGACAAATGCCATGACTGAATTGTAAAAAAAAAATTGTTTAAAAATTGAAAGTCTGCTAGTTATTTAGCAAAAATGTATTACGGCAAAAATTAATTCGATTTTAACTATATTTTATAGTACAGTAATGCTAGGATCCATATGTATTTAAAATATTTTTTGTAGTTTTAACAAGTAATATATAACTTATTTGTATTTGGAATTACAGTTACTGTTTTGTTCAAGGTCTTTCAAATTAAAGCTATATTTTCACTAAAAGTTAGGAACTGGCACGTTAACATTTTTTGTTCTTAATAACTGCCTATCATAGAACTTCATTTTTAGGATATTCGTACTTTTATATATTTTGCTAATGAGATAACATACATGTTGTTGCCCTCTTCATTCGGCTCGATAAAGAGCCTAGTACTTTAGAACATGTGATATATATTGTATTAAGTATTCGTACAGTTTAATGAGTAAATATATAAAATGCCTTTTCTTTGATGCTTACTTCTAATGCCTATCCATCAATTTGTAGTCAAATTGTAACTTAAAGCATATAAAATTTAGATTATTAATAATAATTTTTAAAATTGGATGTTTACCTTTTAAGATATGGGTTCGATAACATGTATAGAAACTATGTTGAGCTATTCATTATATTCTATATTGTCTTTAGAAATATATACTTTTACTTCAACCATCGCAATTTACATACCCTTTTGCTTAATTACTTGAATAATTAATTAATTGAATATTGAATATTAAGACATTTTATATTTGGATTTTATATATTTTAATATTTGCGTATTCTATTATTTATTATGTTTTAATTTCATTTGTATTTTGTACCTTTATTTGACTACTGTGTATATAAGGAAATACATATACATAAATAATAAGGAATATATAAACGAAATAGTACATACATTATGTATATACCATAACAACATTATAATAATTAATTTGTAAGGCAACGTAATTATGAAAGAATGTATTACCATATTAATTTAAATAAAGTTCATAAGGTTATTCAAGATAACCATATAATGTAACATTGTAAAAATTCAATCGAATCATATTTTAGCTAAATATTTATTTAGTATAAAGTATGTATTTTTTCTTAGCCTTCATATATGAAGAGCTAAAACGCTGAAATTTTGAATGAAGATTCGTGTTGACCATGGCGTGACAAATCGGATAAAAGTGTATCTCTTTAAAGTACATGAGCTAATGTTATGATTGTATAAAAATTAATGAGCAAGAACGTTGCAATCGGGAGTTACCAACTGAAGATTACTTATGCACATCCCATTAGCAATTTAGTAGCTAAGTTTAGCTCTAGTACTGCAGAAAATTCAGTTTATGCCTTTTTGTCAGTAGAACGAGCTAACGGTAACCTAACGCGTCGATCTCAGAAGATATAAGAGCTAGAGACTTCAAATTTTTTTTTTAAATGTCTGTATATGTCGCGCGCATATCGAGTTTATCACTAAGGATAACTCATTCCGAAATTTGTTTATCGATAAAAAACCTTATCGAAGATCAGTTATAAAATTATATCTCTCACATATTTAAAGGTAGAGTTTCCAAACTTAATATGTATATTAAAATGCATTTTATACAATTTCGGATTTTGTTGAAATTTTCCCCCACCCCTATATCCACCCCCTCACCATCATATTTGTAAAAGGCGTATTTCAAATACGAGAGACTTGACCTTCGGCATAAACATACATTTAAACAATATGATTACGTTCTGCAAGTTTCATTACGATCGTACGTCTAGAAATTAAATTATTCAAAAAATCAACAAACAAGTCGAGCAGTCTGGACTGGAGCTTTCTTTCTTACTTGTTATATATATATTTTTTTATATATTCGTTTATTAACAACTTTTACAATATGAGTGTGATTAGGTGGCTAAGGATAGCGCACGATGCTTGTAGTACGGCCGTAAAGCATTGCTTCGCAAGCACTTTGCACTCCCTTAGCTTGGGATAGCTCGTCTTCGCTCGATTCTGCGAAGCTCCATCATGATTGTGGTCGCGAAGGTGCTTATAA